TTCGCCCCCAAAGTGCTTTAGATCTAATGCATTCAAATCATTGTAGGATGGAAGATGGAGCAACCAAACTGTTCACAGCCAGCTCCCACACCGTGTTGAACAAATAATCTGTTTCTGTGATGTTGATGGAGGGTAAATATTGCCCACAACAGTAGGGTAACTCTACCCCACGCTCCACTGAGGGCACAGTGTCTCAACTGAAATACAAAGCCTTGAATATTGAGAATCCCCCTATAACTGCACACAAGTGGGAGTTCAATCTACAACGTTCTGACTCTGTACAATAGAAAGTTTTCACAGAACAAGAGATTTCTGTACTAGAAAATGCCATTCAGGGCTGCTATGTTCTTTTAAAAATGATTTGTTATTGTTAGCTCTGCAAGAAGAGTTCATTTCCCATTGGCAACCCTAATCCCAGATGCTCTCTCTTTCCCATTCATATCCTGTTCTAACCCGGACCTCTTCTCCCTCAGACCCCTTTCCCTATCCTTACCTCAAAAACCTCTGATCTCCCACCAGTCCTTCCAACCACTAAGATTCATCTGTTGTGTTTGTGTTTCACTAGAACCATAAATAGAACAAGAGGTTGGCAGAGGATAAACTTGAACAGGGAATACTTTATTGTAGGTCCTCTGAGCTCCAAGGTCAGTTTTAGACTACCCCTCTAGCTCCTGCCTCCAGGTCACCTGATCCAATCTCTTACTGGGGCAACACACAAACAACATACATAACACCATCCGCTCCTCTTGCTGCCATAATCCTCATCCTGACTAAGCTCCTGTCTCTCCCCACCTAGCCTTTGAATGCACCTCTCCCCTACCTCCTGATTTCTTCCCCACCCCACCACCGCACTAGCCAGTTTCTGTGGATCCTCTTGCAGTCGAGCTAAAATCCATGCCACTCTAGCATCCTGACCATTTCCAGGACAATGTGGTGTGGAGAGTGCTGGAGAGCTGTGCCATTCAATGGGATGTGATAGCATTTTCTGAACTCCCAGGCCACTTTTTTTTTAAATTATTAATGTATCACCAAATCACCTATGCTGCCAATTAATACCTTAATTTTTGTTATGTGCTTGAATCTGTCACACCAGTGAGGCACAGGTAGATTCCTAATGTTTGACATGGTCAGGGATTCAAAGGTTCGCAACTTGGACTGAACTGGTCCATCTATGGGCCCAAATAACTCAACGTTAGCACCCTGACCAGCTGCCTCTCATTTCCTTCTTTGCACTTGTGCAGATGGTTCCTGTGGACCTGCTAGTCCATTTACCATTGGACGTTGGTGGGACTGGAGCGTACTGTAGTAACTGGAAGTATTAATTCAAGGCTCTTGCTTTAAGTTTGTTTGAATTTTAAAACTTAAAGAAGGTCACTGTTCTCTAAAAGTATACTTGAAGAGTTGAAAGACCAAGTCATAAAGGTCCACTGCACAGCAAAAGGCTCTTTGGCCCATCATGTCTGCAGCAGTCAAAAAATAACCTACGTAACTATTTAATTAAACCTTCTGCTCACATATTGGAAGTAGCAACAAAGGATGGGGCCATATTGCTAAGCTTGAAAGCTGTAGTCCCTCTTGGACATTGGGTCCAAACTTATGATTAGCTGTACTGGGAAGGGAGTCTATAATTCAACCTGGAATTAAGGGTATGACATGACAAAACTGTAGCCACACAGGGAATATGTATCCCATTAGAAATTACAATAAAAAAGTTAGAATGCTTGCCTACAATCAAAGCCCAAATTACCCTCATGTACACCAAACACTTGTGACTGTATTATTGAGCAAAGCATCACTGAATTTGATGAAGATGTCACGCATTCTAATGAGATCAAGCTCAGGTTTCACAGCAAAGTGAAATGTGTTTAAGTTTTCCCAATTATTGCCAGAATACTGGGGATTACTGAAGAGTGAGTTAATAAATCTTTTTAATTCTTTATCTGAAGTGCTTGGAATGTAAGAAAGCAGACCACATATCCAGATATTAAAAACAAGAGGTTATCAATACAAGATTCATTGGGAACTGCCCAACTCAAGGCTTCCATTAATCACTTTCCACCAATAGGGAATTTAAATCAGATGACATAGCTCCCACAATGAGCTAGTGGGTAGTAACAAAGTAATACTGAACCCAACAATTACAGATGTATTCGTAAAACAAAGCCCACATTAGGGTAACAGTTGAATTGCCACTAATTGCCTCAATATCTCAGACTAAACGAGTGGAAAAAAATACTAGTTCCCATTCATGACTGCTGCTCAGTAACACCCAATGAACAGCATGCATGTGGATTTTAGGCAAGGACAGAACTAGACTCCAAAGTCTCCCTGTGTGGAATAATTCCCTGACATTTAAGTTCTAAAATGAAAAATTCCCGCTTAAGCAAGTCACCTTGACACCAGCACCAATGGATTTGGACCCAAGAATGAGCACTTTCAGCAGAGTCCAAGTGTACTAAATATCTTCAAGTCATCAAGTCAATATTATGCTATTATGGTAAAGGGCATTCATACTGCAAAAGAGCATTTTTTCCACTTTACTTCAGTACAATGTTCCTTCTTTGAGAATATGTGCACATTCTTTCTTGCAAGGTCAAGCCTCCAATTCATCCGGGTTCACTATTTCATACAATGCACTAAGACCCATATGCCAACCATTGAAGATTTAGGATAAAATATGCAAAAAGCAAAATTGTTTTGAAAGTAGAGTTTTCCAGTGAGTTTATGTAAAAGACAAAGACTCGATTGAGAAGAACCAAAAAGAACCTTTGAACATGTCTTTATTACGATTGCAATACACTGAAAGAAATCATACAAAAAAAAAATCAGTTAGTAATCTAATTAATTTTTTTTATCAAAAAGTAGTTACCTTCGTTTAATGTAGTGTGAAAATATAAGCAACTTGTTGATTTATTCAAACTATCAGAATATTATACAAAAATACTTTAAAGTTTTATAAAGGGAGTAAGACAATGCTGTAAAGGATAATTTATTCCATACATGGTCCCATTATATACATTACACTTTGTTTGGAATTTGCTTGAAAAGGGAAATGTCAAGATTTCTGAAACAGTGCATTCAACAGCATTTTTTAAAAACAAAAAAATAAAGCACTTTTTCATCCACAGTGCAGCATAACTGCATACCACAGTATTCCCCAATCCAGTGTGACCAAAAAGTTAGTTCGCAAATCAAATACATTGCTTCCAAAGTATATATCACTATCTGAACTTTTTGGAAATGCAGATTCACCATTTCATTTGAAACATGCCAGAAAGGATTAATCCAAATTACACATCCGCAATATTAAGTGGGATTCTTATTTGGGGGAGCACTAATGGGTCTAACATTTCAATGGATCCCCTTCACTAAGGATAGTTTCCACAAGCAAAGTAACAATTACTGGGAGGTTGCTAGGGCTCGTGCTGGAGTGTTGCTATACCATACAGACAAAAGTCTATAAATAACCACATCAAATTCAATTGCACCGTGACTAAAACTAGATCTTAGGTTTTTAAGAGAAATGGGTGCATTGGGTCAAAAGTAATGGCCTAAGGGCCCCTTTTTAGAGAATTACAAGTTTTGGATTTCCAGACTACCCTGCCACAGTTCCAGCAGGTGCTGTGAGGTGAATGGAAAACTGCCAGGTTGAGGGGCACAAAATCAAACAGTGGATCTCTGTTGCTTCTATCGAACTTCATAGAAACCCAACAGAGCTCACACCTGATCCACAAGCCGCCCAGCCTGAAGTAGCATACCGCTTTAGAGCCAGAAAATCATCATCGTATAGAGCAGCCAAAGCACATCTATAAAACTGCTCAGGCCAAGTGAGGGCTGAACTGAGTGTGAGGAAATGCTGGGTGTGACTAGAGCTCCCAGGTTTCAGGACTCTAGCATTCTAATGCTCATTAGTCAGCATAGCCCAGGTAACATGCATATGGACCAGGATCTACTTGGGGAGATACAAGTACAGTCAAACAGAATTATATACCGTGCCAACCATGGGCAACTGGTACAGGACATAATGCACTTTACTGAACCTGCTGTCATTAGGCTACATTCCTGAAATTACACATTTCAATTCTGGAAGGCTGAGGTAGGACAAGAGAGTATAACCTTAAATTCAGCAAGGTGGGACACATTATTACATTTTCAGAGCAGCTATTCGTACATAGAACCATGTTGCGTTTTGATAGGGTAAGATTGGGTTGGACTGGATTCAATTTTGATGAATTGATCACATAACAGAACATTGACACACATGATTGATGGAATATTGGCAAACCAAACTTAAAATACAAAATATTTTTAAGCTGTCAATTGTGACAACATTTTGAATACATGGTCTTCTGGTCATAGATTGTGGCTGTCACGGTTTTATAAACTATGTGCATTATTATCTTTTAAAGTAGCTTCAATAACACATGCACATCTGCTTGATAATAAGTAGCTATATACAAGACAGTATTCCTGTGCTTACAGCATCTGGCAGTTTAATAATATATTTACATGCAAAAAGCAAACTGCCTGGTTTATTCTTTACAAAAGTGTCACAAGTGAAAAATGAGTTGGAAAGGTATGGTTATCAAACAGACGGTAATCCAGACATCTTTTCCTATTCTACAGGCCATAGCTGTATGAATAGCAGCACATCTGTCTCCCTCATTCTACAAGCTCAAGAGCCCTATGCCTGACCATGCTTCCAGCACTTGGTACAATGGCTCAAGTAACCTATTCAATGGGCAATGAAACAGAGACTCATTGGCTACAGAGTGCTAGATAAAGACTTTCCTTTATTACAACTATTTTGTACGCCACTAAGCAAGGTTGATGTAATGAACCATAACATACATTTATGATAATACAGAATCCCTACAGTGGGAAGCAGGCCATTTGGCCCATCAAGTTCACACCAACCCTCCAAAGACCTTCTCACCCAGACCTACCCCTCTACCCTATCCCTGTAACCCTGCATTTTCCCCATGGCTGACCCACCCAGCCTGCACATCCCTGGACACAGTGGGCAATTTAACATGGCCAATCCACCTAAACTGTATACCTTTTGACTGTGGGAGGAAACCCACGCAGACACAGAGAGAATGAGTAAACTAAGAATCAAAGTTAATCTAACTGTACTCTCAACAAGCTGTTCAAGCAACAGTCGTTTACAATGCTTGATTTATGTATCAAACACAACAAAAGCACTGTATATTTATACATCTTGCCCTGCTTAACAAAGACTGAATAAGTGCCATACTATGTAGAATGTGCCTATTCTATCTGCAGGAGATGCTATTGGGAAAAACATGAAAACTAAGGTAACTTTCAAAATGACAAAGGTTCATTTCATTTGGGAATAGGACAGATTTAGAAATTAAGTTTGAGGCCATTTTCAGATTGTTCTTTGTTGCCTTTCACAAAGGGGCATTTTTACAACTTATTAACAGCTCAGTGCATAATGTGTGATACAGGAAGTTGAAAAGACACAAGGTGCTAGCTCGACTTTGTCAATTCCTGATCTATATCTGTTCCTGAAGGTTCTACGATAATCCCTTCTTCAACCCAAAGGCACCCCAAAACAATAAAGGGATTTTGGTTAAAATGATTTAAAATGTGAACAACTACAGGGAAAAGGCTTAAAGTTTGGAACATCAAACCCATCAGTCAGCGAGGTCAACTACACCGGTGGTGCTGGTAACATTAGGAATAAGCTTTTCAAGCTGTACTTGGTCAAAACAGTTCATCCCATTAATCAGGACTCTGTTGCTGAACTCATTATCCTGCAAAGATCTGTATCTGGACCTCTTTTGTGTTATTTTCATCTCTGAATGGATTGAAAAGGAGGATAGGCAGAGGTTTTTGTGAGGGGGGATGGTGGTTTGATCACCACAATGACAGTAACAAATTAAAACTTGGCAGCTTTTTAAAACCAAATTCTATAAAACTAATTCAACGCAAGAGCAAAATCAGTATTTATTCAACAGAAAATTATTTCTAAAATCAGGGAGGAAAAAACGTTAACCACTCAAAAGTATAAAGTTAATTTTTAAAAAACTGAATGAAGTTATTGCAAAATAAATATGAAAATGTTAGTGACCATTTCAAGATGGTTTTTCTTTCAGAATCTTAACTCAAGTCTATAACTGGGTAATGCATCTCATGAATTCTTAGTGTTCATAATGCTGTACCTTTGAAAGATTTCAAGTGTATAGTATACAGAAATTCTGGCAAAGGAAGCCAGAAGATTAATGTGATCTGAGAGGGCTAACTTCCTGCAGAAGAGATCTAGTGTCATTTGTATATATGAACATAACAGTCTATATTTTATTAGCTTTGATCCCTCAAATCTTTAAGTAATCAGAGGATAGTCAAACAAGATTCACACAGTATAGCTGGCTATTTTCAGCTAAACATACAGTAATTGAACTGGACACAGACACAGGTGAACTGGCCCTTTTGACAATTATATTTTTTTTGCCTCTTTCCAAAGTCTCCAAGAGTGCATTTGTTTTGCTGGTCTGAAAAAAGTCAAACTTAAAAATCATGTTACAGTACATTTACACAGCTCCACAATCAGCTGTTTACCCACTGAGCTGAAGGTAAATTAAAATATGTTTAGTCAAACAAGACAACTGCTTTGCAGAATTCTGCTGCTATCCTCTTGAAGTCACCATAACCATCTGGAAGCATAGTTCTCAAGGTACAATTTAGGTACCTCAATGCCAGGCAAGTTGGATCTCCTGAAAAATGGAGATGAAGATGAACTGCTTTGTTGTAACCATTTAAATAGGTGCAATGAGATGCAAGTACCTGAGGGAATTATTAATATCTCCATTGCCAGAGTTTACAGGAACTGGTTGATATAGAAATCTAGAAATGCAAACAGTTAGAGATTACAGTTTAAATTCAGTTACTTAAAGTGGCTGCATTGGCTTAAGAACAAAAATTAATGTTAAAACAGAAATTGCACAAGGCCAATTAAGAATGAGGGAGACAACGTCCAGTGCTTCAACATTCATTAAATATACGTTGAGTTATTATAGTTTTATCTAGTCTCAAAGGGTGCAATCTCATCACTTCTGTGTGAAAATGTTACACAAGTGACAAGACTCCGCACTGCAGTCTGTTATAGTCCTCCCAACTGACCAAGTGCTCTCTCTGTCTTGTAAGTCAAGTCCCGAGGTCTTATTACTAACAGAAATAGTATCTTGTAAATACTATGGACTTGTCTCATACATTACAGAGTGATACAACATTATGATCTACAGATACATTCTGGAAACAAAAAGTGTAACTTTCAAAATGACAAGCACATTTAAACAGTAAAAGCTTTGAAAATAGCTCAGGCAAGCTAACATAAAAGGAATGTTTTCATTAAAAAACACTCATATGTGTTTACACATGTACAATCATTATGCAGAAGAAACTAGATGAGGAAAGGACGTACAGAGTCGGAGTATCCCTGATACAATCAGTTTCTGGTTAGGGTCAAGTTTTCTTCTTTGGCAAATTGGAGCTGACCTCCTCCGAGTTCCACAGTATTTAGTAGTTAAATGTGTGCAATAACAGATGTCCCAACTAAACAAATAGCTCACATCCCAAGTTATTGTTTAAGTTGGAAGAATAAGGGCAAGCAAAAGGGTAGGAGACCAGCCTACATGTGGGAAATGATTTCTGCTGATCTTGAGCGTTGGAGGGGGCCTCCTGTTCTCTCAAAACCTCAAGCAGCACCTGGGACTATAATTTTGTTACTTCACAGTATCTTTCTGAAGATTTGTCCATTGTTAAGTCCTCAACTGGAGCATCGACACATGAGCCTTTTGCACTCCCCTCTAGTGTTAAAGACCGTGACAGGTAGAAGTTAAAGTTAAGCTACCATTTAGAATTCTAATGGATCAAGCAGTATCAGCAGTTTATTATACAAAACGCTCCCTGAGCACAACCCGCATTTTTCTTGGAGAGAGATTTTGCACGTGTATTAAAAATAGGAGCATCGTTTCATTTCGGAATGTCAGTTTCTGTCTTAAAGGAAGCACTTCCCTGCTCAAAGAGAACTCCAACTGCCTTCCTGATAAAGGAAAATAGAAGACAGAAATCGTTGCTGGAGTAACCACCTGTCCCTTCATCTCCGACAAGCTACAATATAACTGGGCCTTGATATACTGAAACAAAAGCAGAAATTGCTGGAAAAGTTCAGCAGCTCTGGCAGCATCTATGGAGAGAAATCAGAGTTAATGTTTCGCTCCATCAGAACTGGGGAGCTAACTTCTGAGAAAGTGTCACTTGACCCGAAAAACTTTCTCTTCACAGATGCTGCCAGACCTGCTGAGCTTTTCCAGCAACTTCTGCTTTGTTTCTGATTTACAGCATCCATTCTTTCGGTTTCACTTGATTTACTGAATGCAGTTCCTCTCAACGATGTCACCGCAAGGAGATGAAAATGAGTGGTCTAATTTCTCCCCATCCGTCTTCATATGGTGAGTGGAGAGAAAAGTAAAATCAGACACATCAATGCCATTAGACTGTTCTCCTGGAGATCCCTGCAAGTTGCCCAGAGTTAACACTGACCAGGATCTAGAGATAATTTGAGATTCTCCCTCTAGGTCATAGTCGATGCATAGTTTAGGGGGATTGAGACAGTTTGGCTGGGGGCAAAGTAATTTTAACAACATATAGACTTCCTGAAACAAAAGGCAAAAAAAAAAAAAAAAAAAGACTGCTGGTGCAACCTTGCATTTGTCGAGCTGAACTTTGGCTTTTGTAAATCTGAGAGAGAACCCTCCTCAAAAAGCCATTTACAGTCGTTTCTCAGAGTAAACTGTAGAAAGGTGGGAGGGAGAGAATGTTGATGGGCTGGCAGATAGTCTGTGCATTACTACCTCATCGTAAGGCAGGTTAGGCAGCACTGAAGTTCGCAGGAGGTGGTTATACATTTGCTGGGAATGGGAAGCAAGAAGTTGATGCGGCACAGAACCAGGAACCATCGCAGATGAAACAGGATGGCCAGGAGTTAATGCAGGCACAATAACTGGATCAGACTTGCGTGTCTTTGCAGAATTTTTATTCAAGTCAACCAGCTGAAAACGTGCTCCAAACTTCTCTGCCATATGGTGAAGTTCTGGGTGATAGCCTCCAAGGAGATAAGGGCTTGGTGTGCCTTTCTTATTGTCTGTTTGACTCCGTGAGGAGACGGCCCGACGACTGGACAGATTGGATTCTTGGTCCCCTTCAGGCTTTTCTTCTGGTTGACATTGGTCAACATGAGAGGTGAATACCTCATTTCCGGATGTCTCTTCCGCTTCTTTTCCCGATTCCTCTGGATGATGTGCAAGTTGGCTTTGCTTGGCTGACACCATGTTACTTGATGAGAATGGCCTGTTAGTGGAGCCTTTGGGAAGCTCCTCCTTACAGCTCTTTATTCCATCCTTGATCAAGGATGTTCCAAGTGGAACACGAGGCCCACTTTGTGCTCGAGACCTTTGGCTGCTGTCTGCTCTAGTCACTGTTTCTGAAACAGCAGGGGGGAGGGAAGATAACTGGGACAGATTTGTAGGACGCTTACTTATGGCCTCGGAACTCAATTTTGTTTTATCTTGAGGCGTCTCAGAATTGGTCGAAGTGCATTCTGGCTTCTGGGTTTTAGGATATTTTGGTAGACTCAAATCTGTAGGGAGATCTTCTGACACAACTCGAGAACTGAGGCTTCGGGACGAGGGACTTAGTGACTCAACACCAGAGCTATGATCCGAATGAACAGATTCTCTTCCCTGCTCACCCATCCTTGTGCAATAAGAATCCAGTCTCAGCTTCTTAGCCAGTCGTTCACTGTTGTTATGCTTTTCCCTGTTCTCACAATGATTTTGTAAAGATTGACAGAGCAGATAATGAGGGACACCCTTGTGTGATAAACAGACCGGTGCATGCATTAGATCTGCAGTTCTCTTTCCTGGAGAATTCCTATTTGACTTGCTGAGATTTAATGGAGAGGACTGTTCCCTATATTGCATTGAAGTCTCAATCTGTAGCAGTGACTGTTTATTGGATAAATTTTGAGGTGATATTTCAGACAGTTGTTTTTTACGATCACTCACATAGCTGCTACCCATGCACTTGCTTAAATTCAATCCCTCCTCAACTAAACCCTCCTTCATCAGGCGACTTTGTGAATCTCCACTGTCATTATTCACATGTAGCCTCTCAAACGCTCCTGGCCTTGGGTTTACTTTACGTTCTTCCCTAGAATCTGCAGCATGTTTGGCAGAATTCGAGTTACTTAACAGGGTTACAGGAGACCGGTTTCCTTTCACCAGTTGAATTCCATTCATTTGTCCAATGCAAGTTTTCTTTGCTGGTTGAGAAACACATTTAGAGTCTTCTTGATTAAGCCGAGTAACATTCTGTGTTTCACCTTCTCCCAAGGTTTTGTTGTACATTTTGCTATCTAGTTTGATGTTCTTTGATTGGTCCACCTTGGGTGTCCTGGGAAAAGTTGGTCTGCATCCAACTTTCGATGTGGTCAAGCCCAACCTGCTTTTAAGAACATCAAGAGGCGACATGCCTTCAGGTAACTGAAAGTTCAGTATCCCCGAGTGAAGGTGCTGGAACATTGCAGATGGCAAGATGGACTTTGCTCCTTCGGTGGCAATGTGCAGACTTTCTTTAACACTGGAGCCACTCGACAGGTCCTGAGGTTGCAGCTGAGATCTCTGGTTTTTCCCCACACTTGGGCACTCACTATATCTCTGCCTTTTTAATTTTTGCTCATGTGTTTGATGCACTTCAGTCTCAGACTTCTCACCTTTTCCTAAATCTGTAAGAGAGAAGGCCTTGCTTCTGGAATATTCTCCTGTTATTGATGCACCGTCATCTTGGTTTTTACATTTTAGAGTTTGTATCCTCTTGTCTTGGGGGTTACCCGGAGTACCTGTGTGCTGAGCTGTGACAGTCCTTTGGCTTTTGTCTTGGCATCTCCCAGCACTTGAGAGATGACCCTGAAAAAGGGAAAAGAAAATGGTTTAATGCTTGCCTCACTTCACTCTCTTCAGTTTAATCACCCACAATCTCAATTTTCTATCCCAGGCAGTAATCATCATCCACATACAGTAACACACAGGGCAATCATCCTATTGTCCACAGCATTGACAGCGTGTTCAACTCCAGACTCATTAGTGTAATCCAAACCTGTTCCAGTTCATTTTCACAAATGTGCGCTTTTCAGCTGATATTAACCACATAGCAGTCTGAGGGAGAGTACAGACAGCGAGGGTATCTTTAGACCCACCACCCTTGACCACATGGATATTAACCAACACAACAAAATGAGTGAATTAAACTTGGGGCCAATATTTCCTCTCAACTGCTGAATGTAGAACAAGTTCAGGAGACTAACAGGCCATGCACAACAAACAGCCCCTTTAAGATGTGCACGTGTGGCAATTTTAAAAGGAGCTGTACCGTGAAAGGGAACTTTGCCGGAGACACTCCTGTTTGGAATGGCTCAGTACAGCACAGCATAGCACATGGTGAATTTACCTATTGAATCAACACAATCAATCACTTGAGGTCACGGGACGAGGGGCACTGGAATTCTGTAATACTTAGAAAGACAGGGCCCAAAACGATAATTCTGATTTCTCTCCACCGATGCTGCTAGACTTGCTGAGTATTTTTCCAGCAATTTCTGTTTTCGTTTGATTTCCAGTATCCCCAGTTCTTTTGGAATTTTTTTTAGTTACAAATGCAAATTCAGTTTCCCAAATTTAAGAACACCAAATACACACATTTCTCCCTCACACTTATCTATGAACTTCCCACGTGTGCCTTCTACCTTGGAACCACAAAAGCCCAATTCCAGCTCTATGCTTTCTTAGGAAGGAGAAAAACATCTTCTTTTCGGGCTTAAAATCAGCTCTGCAACTGGACAGTCTCTCAGACACTGAGCTTTCCCACAAGATCATCAACCTGACTGCCAAATATTTGATCACATGGGGAAAGAAAAAAATATTACATTCTATTGGGTCAGTCTCAAGTGCTGCTGTTTCTTTCAGCTTGGGGACTTTGCTTACCAAAAAAAAAAACCACAGGTGGCACATAGAACTCCAGACCTTAGCAACAAATAGTGGCAGTACAGGAATTTGATGTCCCAATTTCCCAACCTCAACCAGGATGGACAACTAAAGAAAGGCACTACCCCAGCAAGGAGGGACAAAAAAAAAAAAAAAAGCCATGGCAATCATGAGCTACCTACTTCACTTAAGACTGAAGCAGGTACAATGAGGATGTTTAAAAATAGTTTAGATTGGTGGATGAAGGAGAGAGAACTAACAAGGTATACACAAACAGGACAAGTAGTGATAAGCCTACCGCTCACATGGAGGATAAGCACTAACACAAACCCCCTTCTGATTTATAATTTCTACGTAAGTGTGCAGCCCTGTACTCAGTGGTAAAATAGTACTGCTACTGAACTGGCAGGGTACCCTCACTTCCATGCTAGTTTAGGACGGTCTAGGGAAAAAGAAAACTTGCAATCAATAAATTTACAATTTAACATCATACCACAGGGAGTTCTCCAAAGTCAGTTTGAAATCCAAATACATTTATGACACTGTCACCATTCTCTGGTGCCAGTGAATAGCTGGCTCGTGGAAAAGACAGCATATAAAATGCCTTCAGATCAATTTAAAAAAAAAAAAAAAAATTAGGCTGCAATTTATCATGCTGCATCAATTACAACCCAGCACAAATGCTGGTTAACAGTGCAATTCAATTCCTTGATACAGAGGCTTCTGTTCGTTCCAAAGGGCCTTGCTAAAGATCAAAGCTGTGCGTTATGGGAATGTTGTCAGGCACAAGCTACAAGATGAAAGGAGGGAGTCTTGTTGATCTTGAGAACAGAGCATTGTACACACCGGAACAAGGGGAAAATCTCACCTCTTTCTCTGATAATTGAGTCGATTCCGAAATCTTTTTCACTTTCAAGTTCGGCTCCCCATTTTTAGTTTTGACATCTTTCTCAGAGTCCTCTGATGTGCTTGTAGTGTGCTTACGTGGCTTGGCTGGCGGCAGCGGCTTGTGTTCCTCCCCTCTGAGGTAGCGTTCATACGGTAGGATCAGCCTGCAGAGAAACAGCATCGGAGTCACCCAGGAGTTCAAACATCATTTTCACACCTTTCCTAAGAAGTTAAGAGGTTAGGAGCAGTGTAGGCAATTTGGCCCCTCAAGTCTGCACTGCCATTCCATAAATTCACAGTTGATCAGACTGTAATCTCAAATCCACATTGCTGCCTATTTGATAGATTCTTAATGGTTATAAGGCTGTTACTCTCTGCCTTAAAAATATTCAAGGACCTTACACAGAGAGTCATAGAGATATACAGCTTGGAACCAGAGCCTTTGGTCCAACTCGCCCATGCTAACCAGATATTCTATATTCATCTAGTCCCATTTGCCAGCATTTGCCCCATATCCCTCTAAACCTTTCCTATTCAATTCCCATCCAGATGCCTTTTAAATGTTGTAATTGTACCAGCCTCCACCACTTCTTCTGGCAGCTCGTTCCATACACACCCCAACCTTTATGTGGAGAAGTTACCCCTCAGGTCCCATTTAAATCTTTCCCCTCTCACCTCAAGCCTATGCCCTCTAGTATTGGGACTCTCCTACCCTGGGAAAAGACCTTAGTTATTCACCCTATCCATGCTACACATGATTTTATAAATTTTCAAAGGTCAGACTTCAGCCTCTGAAGCTCCAGAAGAATTAGCTGCACCTTATTCTGCCTCTCCCTATAGCTCAAATCCTCCGACCCTAGCAACATCCTACATTTCCTTCGAGTTTCACAATGACTTTCCTATACTTGCAAAGTTCTCTCTTTTTTTTCAATTATGTAAACTTGAGGTTTGGTAAAGCTGGTGCCAAAGCAGAGACTTCATCACTGAATAAAGCCTAACGCAAAACACCCAAGTTCTCTCAACGTAAGTAAACCAACAGGAGCAGAGCAATTACATCTGGTCCCTTGGCTCCATGAGATACAAGTAAATGGCTAAGAGCCAAAAGATTTGAATATGTTTAAACAAGATGGGATGTGTGGTGGGCAGGATGTTTCCATTTTTTAAATAAACTATTCTCTACCTGTGGAGGGCTTTAAACCATGCTTGGTACACAGACATAGGTGTAAGTATATTAGTACCACTGTAGGGTTCAAGTATCTTGTAGGAATTCCTTATTTCTAGATATATATATAGCTTAGTGTAGCCAATTTTTTGGCTGAGGTCGGGGGTGGTACCAGAGTAAAATAAGTTAATAACAAAGGATGTGGACGTTACATCCAACTCCGATCATACATCACTTCATGGCTGCAACACAATTTTGCAAGAAAGACTTGAAAAGTAGATGAAATTTACAAAAGAATCAACCACACTTCAAATTTAAAAGAAACAAAAATCTTGCTCAAAAAAAAAAAAAAATCAGACCCAAGAACTTGATTTCTAGTCAACTTCCAATTGGCACACTCAAGTGGTGTCTACACGTTAGACCAGTCTTTGTGCCTTCGTTGAGCTGGGCAGTTACCTTCAAAGCAAATTTTTTCACATTCTCACTGGCCTGCAAAAATGCTGGCCCTGTCTACGGTGCTCAGAACAGACTCTTTTCTCTAATAGCCCCTTTCGTAAATAAAAACTGCTAGCAGCCACGACAAGATACACATGGCACACTCCTCTCTCTCTCTCCCTCCTTTACAAACAGCTCCACCCCTTCCTCACAGTCCAGAGATTCCTCATTCAGGGAGACCAGAATTTATACATGAAACTGTAACACATTTTCTGGAAATGAATAATGGTACAAGAACAATAATTTTATTGGAATAAAGCGTTAAAAACCAGTTCATCAGGATCTGCTTCCACATACCTGAAGGTTCGTAACTATTAACAGCTCATGTCTCTAAACATAGAATGTTCAGTTTCTGTTTTGAATTTTACCACCCATTCTCTGTAAACCAGTCAAGCTTGCTCACCCTCTTGGTCCTCCAATATCCCTCTTCTTATGCTATTATTTAACTGCCTTGTAAATTTTTCTTTCCCCCTCATGTCTGAGCTCTGCATTACTGCCCTCCGTGTTCTGATTCAAAAGATTTTGGGCTCAATGTTGTCTGCAGAGACTTCAAACCATAACCTAGCCTGGCACATTTGTGAGATTGTGGTGGTGGTGGTGGTGGTGCAGGGGGGTGCTGCCTTGTTTGGTTTCAACTTTCAACCAAAGTCACGTCTGCTCTCCCAAGTGCCATTGCTCTTCCTGTTGATGGGATCTTGCTCTGCTTGAAGTTGCTGTCACTCCACTTCAAAAGTACCTCATTTGCCATGAAAGACTTTGAGGATGTCTTGAAACTCTGCCAGCTTGACTTCTTCCAGATTGGTAATTGGCAGAAAATTCTAGATCACATTCCTCTTAGCTTACACTATATTTGTCATACAAATTTATCTGATAACATCACTGACAGTGCAATAACTGCAGAACTTAAGCAATAAAACACAGGTAGGAGAACATTTCAAGGGGTCATTTCAGGAAAAAAGGAGTAAGATTTATACAGAATCTTTCAAATCCTCGGGGCATTCAAAAGTGCTTTATAATTATCCAGCTTTCTATTATCCAGCACCTATTGGATCAGTAGAGTGTTAATTGATCAATTATTCCAAATAATTAGGGGATCCACATAATCAATGTAAAACACACACTAAGTAATAGAAACATGATACAGGGGGTATACACATCACTGTTACACTTTACTTACAACGTAACTCACAAATAATAATGGAACTTTACCTTAAATAAAACTTACCTTCTCACTCACCCCCTCAACTGACTACACAGACATTGTGGTATTTGAGGAGAATTGAAATCAGTTGTTGATATTTTGTGTGGCCATTGAATTGAACAAGTATATTTACATTGGAGGTAAATAAATTTTTAAAGACTAAAAATTGGACAGAATAATACAGTAACCTTCACAGTATTTGAGGGATATAATTTTTGCCAGTTTATGAACAGGGCACGTTCATAAGGTACCAGTTAAAACAAAGTTTATTGCATACACTTTTGAAGCATTATCATTGCTGCAATATAGGCAGATGCAGCAAGGTCCCACACTGGGAGTGAGATAAATCTGTTTTGGTAATGTTGGTTGTGGTATAAATACTGCTCAAAATAATTACAGAACTCCACTTCTTTTCTTCAATTTGTACTGTGGGATCCTTCAGCCCCATCGGAGAAGATTTAACAACTTCTTTGGAAGGCACAATCCTGAGCATTGTAAAAATTCTCAGGGAGCCAGCCTGAATGTGATCAAATAAGGTAATGAACTTCTGAATTAGAAATGAATGGGTTACCGAATAGTCAGTCAAAATTTGCACTTGGTTCACCTCTGTTACTTTTAACAAGATTTATATTATGTTGTTAATAACTAAACTATTAACACGGTCTTGTTTCAGCAAGACAAAGAGACATTTAGATACAAACCACATCATCATGTTTCACCTTTCATCTTACTTAATACCACTCAATACAAGATTGTATTGTGTCTCTTTAAATTATTTGAATATTATTTTGTTTGAATAAGCTTCAGTACGGATCTCCATATCCTTGGAACTTGGGAGAATCTCTGTTCAATTTACTTGGTGTCCAGATGTAGACCGTCTTTGAACCCTCAGGAATAAAGTCATATTCGAGCACACACCACACCATTAATGCCCCTAAAAACAGGTAGCCCACATTCTTCTTTGGGCTGAACTTAAAAGGCTCCTGACACACTGCTCCATGAATTGAATTATGCCTGTTTCCAGAGTCAAACGTTGTAACAGATTGTACCATCCAGTCCTGCTGAGACGATGTCCTAGTGGTAATAACACTGGACTGTTAACCCAAAGACCCAGTTAATGGTCTGGGGACCCACATTTTAATCATGCCATGACACATGGTGAAATTTGAATACAATAATAATCTGGAATTAAGAGTCTAATGATGACCATGAAACCATTACTGACTATTGGAAAAACCAATCTGGTTCACTAATGTCCTTTAGGGAAGGAAACTGCTATCCTTACCTGGTCTGGCCTACATGTGACTCCAGACCCACAGCAATGCCCTCATCCCATGAGGGAGTAAATTAAAAAAAAAGTCACTTATGAAAGTCAGGGAACCTGGGTTGCTGTCTACCCAAGTGAAGATGGTCCAGGTTGTGGAGTTACAAGACAGTCACTGATGACTTCTTTCATGGACTCCGAGTCACCTCATTATGCTCAGGTGCAACAGACATTGGCCGGGTATTAGTTCTGTCTATTGCCCAAAGAAGTTGCATTCAACCACAGCAGGAGTTTTAACAGTGGAGGAGTGCAGTGAGATGCAGTGTACTCTACCTCTCGTAATGTCTCCTGGTACAAGTGGCAGCACTAGTGCTCCCTGGGTTACCACCCAGCTCATCATAGATATGTTTCCACAACCGACGGGCAGTTACCTGCAACAAGAAATCAGAATGTCTTAACAAAGACCACGGTCAATTTAAAAAAAAAACAAGCTGTACAACCAATGGCTTTCAAAGTCAAAACTCAACTGTGCTTAAAATACTGATGATGTTTTAGAGCAGGAATTAGACACAATGGACTGTACCTCAGCACTACCTTATCAGGAGCACTGCCTTCTGTTTTGCATGCAATAACACTCTAGTTTCCTGAAGCAGGATAGGTAATTACCCTAAACGCAATTACAAGTATCCAAGGGAAGGAAATAAATTCATCAAATACCACAGCTGAGGCAAATTGACTGCACTAAAGCAGGTCAGACTATGGGAAGCCATGTTATACTTCACATGATGCTGTAAACAATCTGGACACAGTACACGTTGAAATGCTCCATAGAAGTAGTGGGAGAATGAATGAGAATGGAGAAGCAGTGCTCAAGGTGATTGTCAAGTGTGCAATCACTGTGGGCAAAATCTTTATAGAAAAGTGCTTTCAAGATATGTCCTGGGTAATGATGCATCTGAGAGAAAAGCCACCTTAATTGAGGTGGCAAACTGGAATGTCAGAGAGATGCCCCCAGGGTGAACAGCAATCTCTGAACTTTGTAATTTCTTCATTACACCCGAGTCAGTGAATTCCAAGGAGGTACTTTATGTCAAAAACAGCTAAGAGGACAGGTTTTAACAGCTCTGAAAAAAATAAGAGGAAGCATACTCACTGCCTCATATCCTCCAAGCCGTTGTGTAACAGTGAACATTATGAACAGATCAACTGATAAACAAAGAGAAAAGCATGTCACCATGGGTAAGCAGTGGATTTTCAGGAATAACATGAAATTCAACACCATCCATTCACTGACTAAGTTTGGGACACACCTGTTACAGCACACTCTTTCAATTCAAACACAGCATAAAACATGCATTTAAATATCAAGGCTCCTTGGGCTAGGACAGAATGAGAGCAATTGACTCAGTCCTGCATTAATCATAGCTGACATAACTCAATTATCCTGATAGACACCGTGACATTAATTATTACTTTAAAAGAACTGAAGGAACGCATAAAACTATACAAATGATAGTAATTCCAGTGGACAACAGTAAGCTATTTTCGTTTTAGAAATTTCACACAAGCAAGCTTACCCTTTAAACCCCAAAATCTCAAGAGTCAAAACACCTTCAAGCTAAGGTTAATACTGAAACAGAACCACTTGGATTAATGTTTAAACATGCAAGACCATCAGCAGGCTGAATGGAGAGATTGCAATTAAAAAAGGCAACGCTGACATTATGTGGGTTAAATGACAGGATGGAGCACAATAAGTTATAATAAGTGGTTAAGTGTCAGGAAAAAGGTTTGCTACCAGTGCTTAAACAATAAACATTATGTGTAGTAAGGTACTGTTAGTAAAAACGTAACACAAACAATTTGAAATTCCGATTAAATAAAAGGAGGACACATTGTCTTGTACAAGGCTCACTTGTTAATAAAAACTAATTTTGTTTTGATATGCAAGAAATAAGAAATAAAAATATTCTTAATGCATAATGATGATAAAGTACCAAAGTAATTCTGAAACATTGCCAGCTGTCCAGGAAAAGTCTAAATACCCATCAGTCACCCTGTTGCAAAGGCAGCACATCCCTGTTGGTTGATGACTGTTACAATGCCATACAATGGGTTTGACCAGTTTAACCACTTGGTGCACCTCAGGAAATCCTGCTGATTTATTCCATCTCATTTTGCTCCATTTGTGAAGCCTGGATGATGCGTGCCGATTTAGACAAAACTACTTGTTCATTCCCCTTTTCAAAGGACAACAAAGAACAAAGAAAATTACAGCACAGGAACAGGCCTTTCAGCCCTCCAAGCCTGCGCTGATCCAGATCTTCTATCTAAACCTGTAGCCTATTTTCCAAGGATCTGTATCCCTCTGCTCCCTGCCCATTCATGTATCTGTCTAGAGACATCTTAAATGATGCTATCGTGCCCGCCTCTACCACCTCCACTGGCAACGCTTTCCAGGCACCCACCACCCTCTGCGTAAAGAACTTTCCACGCACATCTCCCTTAAAAACTTTTCCCCTCTCACCTTGAAATCATGACCCCTAGTAATCGAGTCCCCCACTCTGGGAAAAAGCTTCTTGCTATCCACCCGGTCTCTACCTCATGATTTTGTAGACTTCAATCAGGTCCCCCCTCAACCTCTGTCTTTCTAATGTAAATAATCCTAATCTACTCAACCTCTCTTCATAGCTAGCGCCCTCCATACCAGGCAACATCCTGGTGAACCTCCTCTGCACCCTCTCCAAAGCATCCACACCCTTTTGGTAATGTGGCGACCAGACTGTACGCAGTATTCCAAAGGTGGTCGAACCAAAGTCCTATACAACTGCAACATGACCTGCCATCTCTTGTACTCAATACCCCGTCCGATGAATGAAAGCATGCCGTATGCCTTCTTGACCACTCTATCCACCTGCGTTGTACCCTGAAGGTAGCAATGGCCCTGAACACCCAGATCTCTCTGTGCATTTTCATCGTGCACATGGTTTGCCATAAGATCAGGAGTGAATCATTCCACACCCGAGTCAGTTCAATTCTGTTACTCAGGTCATTCAAGCCAGAACACAGCTTAGTTCCATTTGTTCACCTTTTATCCAAGTCCTTTGACAGGTTTCTCTCAAAATTTACTGATCTCAGTTTGGAAATTGTCAGTTGACCTAGTATCCATTTTCTTTTCAACAAGAGAATTTCAAACTTGCTGCATCCTTTGTGTGAAAATTGCACCTGGATGGCTTAACGTTAGTTGCAAGATGAGGAAAGAGTTGTCTGTAACTCCCCTGTAATCTGACAATGATTTAAAACATGATGCTAGCCAAACATGTTACTTCGAACGAAAGTGTCATTGACCCAAATCATTAAATCTGCTTCTGTCTCCAAGAAGCCGCCCGACTTAGAGTATTACTAATTATTTTTAATTTTACTTCAGTTTTCCAGTATGTGGGAGCCCTGGTAGCTCAGCTAGGAGAGCATGAGACTTTTATTAGGCTCCTGATTGGTAAGGGGATCAAGGGTTATGGGGAGAAGGCAGGAGAATGGAGTTGAGAAACAGATCAGCTGTGATTAAATGGCAGAGCAGACTCAATGGGCTGAATGGCCTCATTCTACTCCTGTAGAATATGGTCTTATTTGCAGAATTCGAATTTTTAAAATGCTGAATACTGCTTATTTTTCTTTATTGTGCGCAGCTATTTGTTCCAATGTCCCTGCACCTCATAAAAGGTAACTGTAGCTGGGCACTGCATTGCAGTGTATTACAAATTGTTACACAGCCACACAGCATGGAGGGAATATTACAATCATGAGCATACGCAGTTCATTTCTCCAAAACAAACTCCAATATTATGTCAATGTTGATCTCCAAGTTGATGTATATTATCTATCTTCCACTGGGTTATGCAAATTGGAAAAAAAAACACTGGTTGGAGAAAGCAATGGGTTTGGGAGGCAGTCTATATTTCCAGAAAGAGTTTGGTCTAAGAATGACCCCATGCTGGATGCCAGGTGGAGGCATGTGGCAACCTGATTTCGTGAGAATTTGAGATGCACCATTTTCCAATCTTGATTGGACGTTCAGCTGAAAAGTACAGCAAACAATGTTGAAGCATAACAATGCATTCTTGCTCTATCAGCACAATGTGATGGTGTGAAAACTGCCTGGTTGTAGTTTCTTTTGCATTTCACAGAATCATAGAATCTCTAGTGTGGCAGGAGGCCATTTAGCCCATGGATGTCTGCACTGACCCTCTGAAGAACATCTGATCCAGACCCAAGCCCTTACCTTATCCCTGTTACTCCACATTTCCCCATGGTTAATCCACCTGGCCTACAAATCACCTGGACATGGTAGGCAGTTTAGCACGGCCAATTTACCTAACCGGCACACCTTTAGATTGTGGGAAGAAACCAGAGCACCCAGAGGAAAACTACATAGACACGGGGAGAACATGTAAATTCTACACAGTTACCCAAGGCTGGAATTGACCCCAGGTCCCTAGAGCTGTGAGGCAGCAGGGCTAACCACCGAGCCACCGTACCACCCATCATTTATTTGACGGGCAGAGTGCATTTTATGTTTGTAACAGTTTGGACCCTCACCTGTGTGAGGGAAATGTGGTATGGACCATGTATCAACTTTGACGATACGAAGGTGGGTCACGTTGTGGACAGTGCGGAGGGCTGTTCTAGGTTACAAAGGGACATTGATAGAATGCAGAGCTGGGCTGAGAAGTGGCAGATGGAGTTTAACCCTGAAAAGTGTGAGGCGATTCATTTTGGAAGGACAAATTTGAAGCAGAATACAGGGTTAACAGAAAGATTCTTGGCAGTGTGGAGGAGCAGAGGGATCTCGGGGTTCATGTCCACAATTCGCTGAAAGCTGCCACCCAGGTGGATAGAGTTGTTAAGAAGGCACATGGTGTGTTAGCTTTCATTAATAGAGGGATTGAGTTCAAGAGCCGTGAAGTTATGCTCCAGCTATACAAAAGACTGGTTCGGCCACATCTGGAGTATTGTGGCCAGTTCTGGTCGCCTCATTACAGGAAAGACGTGGAAGCGTTGGAAAAAGTGCAGAGGAGATTTACCAGAATATTGCCTGGAATGGAGGGAAGGTCTTACAAGGAAAGGTTGAGAGCGCTAGGGCTTTTCTCTTTAGAACGACGAAGGATGAGAGATGACTTGATAGAGGTGTACAAAATGATCAGAGGTATAGATAGAGTGGACAGCCAGACACTTTTTCCTAGGGTGGAGGTAGCTATTATGAGGGGGCATAGTTTTAAAGTGAGTGGAGGTAGATATAGGGGAGACGTCAGAGGTAGGTTCTTTACTCACAGAGAGTGGTCGGAGCGTGGAATGCATTGCCGGAGAGGGTAGTGGAGTCGGCCTCATTAGGGGCATTTAAGTGGCTATTAGAGAGGCATATGGATGATAGTATAAGGTAGGGGTGGAGGTTAGATAGACCTTAGGTTTAGGGTAAAATTTTGGCACAACATCATGGGTCGAAGGGCCTGTACTGCGCTGTACTGTTCTATGTTCCCTATACTTTACAAGTTCCCAATGTCTGGCATACCGCTATGTAAATGTTGAGAGAGAGAGACCAGAAGGTTCTTGTATGACAGAGGCTTGAATATTCCAGGGTCAATGGTTCAGGTTTCTACTACCACAGGCTAGAGAGTCAAATAGCTGCCTGTCCCATTAGCCAATGCAGTAGGGAAGGGGAAGAAAAAAAGACTTTCAGAAATGATAAGTCTGGTCAGAAAACACTGTACAATTCACAGCAGACTGCAGCAGCAGAGAAACATTTCACTCCTCCTCCTCCCTCAATTATTTTGGAGAGCTGTTACATTATGAGTGCTGGCATTAATGCCAAATACAGCCAAAAAGCACTGGATCACCAGTTCAGGTTCCAAGACAAGTTACCAATAGGTTTGATTGGTTCAACACCTCTGAAATACATGGTGGTAAAACTATTTAGTATGACAGCTGAGCTTGAGTACAACTCGTGGCATAATCCATTCTGGAACATTCCCTTCCTCATCGTTTAATGGATTAACAGCAAGGCTAATCCATCAGATTAATTAGCATTACAGCCCAGAATGCATCTGTCAACAGAGCTGAACTTTCAAGTCTGTCACTTTGAATCAGACCTGAAATATTAGTTCTGATTCTTATCACCACAGATACTTCTTGACCTGTTGGTTATTCCCAGT